TCAGCATTTTTACTCTGTTTTTGACTCTGTTCTTAAGTGACTTCAGATATTTTTTGTCTTTCCAGTTGTGTTTAAAGCATATTTGCCTTGTTTCGTCTTACTCTATTGTTTGACTCGTAAAAATCAGTTTATAATTTTTTTGTTTTGTTCTTGTTGTGTTTTTGTATTTGTGAACTCTTGGAAACTTCCAGACTAATTTTTTTAGCCTTTGAATTTAAATGTGTTGCACATCAATACTTTAAATAGGTCACATACCTTTCTAAATTATTACATTTAGGATGGGGGGGGAAAAAAAGAAGCTTAAATTGCTTGTATTATTTTACAAGAATGCGTGTAAACCACACAGCAAGCAACAAAACAGACTATGCTTTAATTTATGGGGAGAAAAATCACCTTTTCAATCAAAATCCTGCCGTTCCTTTAACAAAGATTTAACACAAACTTAAAATATTTATAATAGATGCATGCGTTTCAGTTTTTCTGTGCTTGAAAGCAATAGTAGAGTGGATAATAGAAAAATTGTTCAAATTGTGATACAAGTACTAAATCTGGTATGTTGATTCTCTTTGACATATTTGTCAAATTTAGTTTAGTTTGTTTATTTGTCATATGCAGGTCAACACAAGATCAACAATGCAATGAAATGCTCAGGAAAAGAACCGTCTCAACTCGCCGAAAAACGAAACAAAACATGCAACAAAGTACAAAACAAAGCACCAAAACGTGACAAAAAAATAGTGGACAACATGGTAGAATCCAACGGTGCAAGTTAGATGAATCAGTACAAACACCTCACAGGCAGTAACACTGCTTACATGCACATGATGCATATTGAACACAATTGAGATGAAATGAATTATGGTGGCACAGCAGCGACCACATGATACAGCCACATAGTGCAGCAGCAATAAACATATTGGGTGTCACAGATGTGACTCAGTTCTGTCAAGCCGGTAAACAGAGAAGTTGTCTGGAGCCACAGTGTATGGACGGCTCCAGCCATGTTTCCCTAAAGGCAAAGACACAGCAGCTCCTCATGTCCAGCTCACAATAAATCTGTGCGCGCAAGTCAAGGAGATGCGGTTTACTGTGTCTCTGGTGGGTCCTGCACAAAACATCGGCTTGCTTCCCTCTCCGTGTTTTCCTCTTATGGCGCCCAGGTAAACAAAGGACCCAGGGGAAAATGTCCGCCACAGAGTCACCAAAAATGAGCCCAAAGTCCCCACTCACTGATGGTCACAACTCCAAAAGTGCATTGCAGTCATACCTGTGGCGTGCAAATACAGTGCAGGTGCAAAAATCTGCCCTATTGTTCATTTTCAAATAAAAGACGGTGTTTGTTTTTCAAGATGAGCTTATTTCAGCCCAGTAATCATGTGGTAATGCAATTGATCAATTTGAATGGTCTTTATGTCGATTTATGTTTTTTCTGTCAGTAACCGAGCGGCTGTGGCTGAGTGGTTAGAGCAGTCGTCCTCCAATGCAAGAGTTGGGGGTTCAAATCCACCAGCAGTCGCATGCCGAAGTGTCCCTGGGCAAGACACTGAACCCCTCAATGCCTCTGATGTGTGTCCCATCGGTGCATGAATGTGATAAAGCTCTGATTAGTCTCTTTAGAATGATTTGTTCAATTAGCTTTGTGCTTAGTGCTGCATGAATGGGTAAATGAGGCACAGATTGTAGTGTAAAGTGCTTTGAGTATCTTGAAATAAGATAGAAAGGCGCTGTATAAGTACAGTCCATTTACCATTTAGCCTTGCACAGTGCAAGTAACACATGAGCTTTAACAAATAAACTGTTCTTCATTCGTTCATTCAGGGTTTATACTCAGTGGAAGAGTGGTTCAACAGACGTTTGTCTTCTTTCTGAGTCCATCTCCAGTCAGCAGGACTAAATGGTTTTGTCAGCCATTTTTGAAGAATGACCATCTTCTATTTTTATATGACCAACATTAGATTCTTAAGAAGATTCTTGTGAACATCCATGCCATATTTGGTGCTTGTATCATATTTGGTGCTTGTATCACATTTTGCGCGATTCTTGTGCAAAACTAGTTTTAGCTTCATCTCTACAAGTGTTGACCATTTCTGAAGTCACTGACATTCAAAAAACGGCAAACACAGATACAACCATTAATTTTATGTCTCAGCAGTTCATAAATGTGTATAAAAGCAGCAATCTTTTCAGTCTGGTAATCAAACTGCACAGTTCCTCTAACTGAAGTGCTCCAAGCTCCTTGTCCTTTTAGTTTCTCCACTTTAACTTTTTAAATGATGTTGATGCTGCACTGTAGCTGAAGTTTAGCCAATAAACTGTTGCTACTGTTTTTTTTTTGTTTGTTTGTTTTATTTGCTGGACTTCATTATCACAAGTCAAACATTTCTTTTAAGGAAGACTTATATTAGTAATTTTCTACAAGTACTTTTTCTTGTTTTTCAAAAGTATTACTAGCCTGACAAGAAAATAATTTTTTTAATATCTTTTCTTTCATCTGTCTGTAGTTACTGACAGTGTAATAAAAGACATCACTCTGAATTGGACATAATTGTGATTGCAACACTTTAAAAAATAGAATGACTGTGAAAGAAGAACTTATGGCGCCCATTATAGAAAGCTCTGAGTTTTTGTGAGCTGTGTGCTTAAAAAAAGTCTGGACCAGAGAGTGGGTTACAACTCAAAACAGAATACAACGATACAACTAAGAAAAGGGGTAGTTGTGCAAATACTAATGAATAATTGAAAAAATCTAAATGAAAACAAATATGGCTGATCATTTGTTTAAACATTTTTTGACCAGATACGTACAAGGTTCAATGACGTTCTGTGCTTTTACAGACCATTTTTGTTGTATTTGGAACAACCAACTCAGAATGACAAAACATGGAGTGTAATGCATGTTCACCAGTCTGTTCCATTACAGTAGTCCCTCGCTACTTCACGGTTTGGTTGTCGCGGTTTTTTAAAATAAGATTGGACATGACATCCAGTGGCTGATTGATGGATGAGCTGTACAATCAAATGAAAACTATTCAATTTTAGCAATTCATTTAAGAAATGGGGTCAATTTGTCTTCTAGTAGTCTAAGCTTAAGGCAGCATAACAAGTCAACCCTAACTAGGATTTATCAAAAAGGAAAGTCTTAATCCCAGTCTTTAAACTGGACAATGTGTCGGCCTCACAGACAGAAACTGGAAGTTGGTTCCACAAGAGAGGAGCCTGATAACTGGAAGATCTTCCTCCCATTCTGCTTTTGGAAACTAGGAACCGCAAGTAAGCCTGCAGTCTGAGAGTGAAGTGCTCCGTTAGGAAAATATGGAACAATAAGATCTCGACTATAAGATGGAACTAGGTTGTTGAGGACTTTGTAGGTTAGAAGTAAGATTTTGAATTCACTTCTGGATTTGACATGGAGCCAATGGAGAGAAGCTAAAACTGGAGAGATATGATCTCTCCTACTAACTCCAGTTAAGACTAAAATAAACTACTTACTACTTGTACTACTATTCCCACTTGGCGGTTTTTCACTTATCGTAGGGCTTCAGGGTACGGATCCCCCGCGATAAACGAGGGACTACTGTACTCCTACTTTAATAATGTTAAAAATAATAATAATATAAAATAATTAGTGTCCATTGTTGCTGAATCCAAGCCTTTAACATCTGACACTGAGATCAGTCCTGGCTGATGCTGCTTCATTCAGATAGTGGCCACACAGCAGTGAATATCTTCACTATGCATCAATGTCAACTTGACATAAACCTGGAGCCCTTCTATCCACAAACGTTTGGTAGTCTCAACACAATCTGTCCAGAGCCCCCACATAGGACCATGCACTGAAGCAGAGGTGTTACCTGGAGGTTTACAGGTAAACAAGTTGCTGGCACAACTAAACAACCATCCTTGGAAATATTGTCAAGATGCTGCTTTTATTTGGCTAAATGTTTGAATATTTCATCAAAATCCTTTACAACACAAATCTTCATTTAGTCTGGATTTACTGATCAGATTACCTGAAGACTGCATGTTGAGATTCTCTTTAGTTTAATGTTTATGGCCCGTTGTGGTGGGCCAGAACAAACCCATGGGGGGCCATTGTATGCTCCTCCTTTCATGTTGCATCTGTTATGTGATTAAACTTAGTAAATAACTCCCGTCCTAATGTCAAAATAATATTGTTTAGATATACGAATGTCTTGTAGTTTTCAGAAATGTATAGTAGTCCTGCTGTCACATCAGTGTTTCCCCTACCATTAAACAAGCCGGGCGCCCCGTCCTGCCAACAGAACCGAGCACCCTGCCTACCGAAAGCTAGCGGCGCGCAATACAGACGCACTAGCTAAAACGCTATGGACATAACGCTCCATTTTATTCACGCTGAGCCGTCTGCAGAACGGCTTGTTTGAAACGCTGCGCACCGATTTGACGGCTCACTGTGTGGAGTGGCTACAGAGGATGCTGACATGTGACTGCAGAGATGTTTCAGGTATTCATGTAGCTGCTAGGTGTGAACGCTCTCAGTCCGACCGGTCGTCCAAGACGGATGTTGGCTCAGAGTCTGAATAGGACCCACAATCCTGAACATTGTTCACATTCAGGCGTTCTCCTTGATACTCAAAATGTCTTCAACAGGAGACTGATTTAATGACAAAGATTAGAGTGAAGTATGAGAGAAAACATCCTGACAGTATTAAAAATCTTTAAAGGTTGCAACCCTACCACTCCTTTACATCAATGATACCTCCATCAGTGAAGGGACAGGTATGCTATTTGGTATATTAGATGAAACTGTTTACCTGTTGCCAGTTGTTGTGAGCATGTGTGTGTGTGTATGTGTGTGTGTGTGTGTGAGTGTGTGTGTGTATAAGGTCATCATGAGCCTGCAGACCACTGCAGCCTGCGTGGAGGCAGAGCAGGAAACACGATGATTCACTCAGTCTTCACACACTCTGCCCTGTCTGACCTGTGTTACTCTTCATAATTCTCCTCTTCCTCCCACTCAGAACCAACTCGGACTCGGCTCTGCACACAAGTGCTATGAACCCAAACCCCCAGGACCCGTTTGGCCTGACTCAGCAGATGGGCCGAGGTCCCCCGCAGCGCAATGGTAAAAGTAACATACACACAGGACATTTTCAAAATGTTTTCATACATCTAGTTTGTCTGCTCTAATATTATCATAAAGCTCACTATTTATATACGTTTATTTCTGTCAGTCTGTGAATACACTCTGTAATTAAATCTGTTTATTTGCTGAGAAGCTGCAACAACTTCTGCATCACTCGACAACCAACCTCATCAGTCTTGTGTAATCATTCAGAGTTGTTGTTTTTTATTCAAGGAAATGAGGCAGAGTTTCGTACTAACAACCCACACTTTTTTTTTCTAGGAAATCTTATCAATATTTAAAACTGTTTCAGTGAATAAAATTATTTTTATCAACCTTCTGTTACATCACCAGGAATCCAGCCAACATGGCAACACAAACACAAATCCAGTGTGTTGCAATTTCATTTATACTATTATTTGGTGGTTTTATTGAAAATAATATTTAACATACTACAACTCTACAAATTAAATTTAAACTATTTATATATATTTTTTAATTTAAATAAATAAAATAAACCCTCAAACTCCAGAGTCTTGTTTTAATGAGGGCTGCTCATTCTGCATGTGGTGAAGCAGTTTGAAGGTTTCAGGCCTTCAGTGGATCTGTGGTGGATCTGTTCAGTCAGAGCTCATGATTCACCAGATACAATGAACACTTAATGTCAGGAGGACTCCGTGTTTTTTTGTATGCCTCTTTATTTTGGTGACAGTTGTGGAGTCTTCTCTTGTCTCTTCATCAGGACTTTTCTCTTTTTCAAAGAAGCTCTCCAACCCGGTTTGTTTTTTACTCATTTTTACTAAAATTAGTTTGAGAGTTCACTTGTGTGTGGGGAAAAAACCACGACTGAGTCAAGCAAGTTCTAAAATTGTGTGTACAGAATTGATTGTCAAAATCAAACACCATCCATCCATCCATCCATCCATCCATTATCTTTACCCACTTCTTCCTTTTCGGGTCGCGGGGGTCTCTGGCCCCCGATGTCGAGCAGTCACTCTGTGAGAGGCGGGGGACACCCTGGACAGGTCTCCAGTCCATCACAGGGACACATTGAGACAAACAACCATTCACTCTCTCACTCACACCTAGAGACAATTTAGAGTCACCAGTCAGCCTAACATGCATGTTTATGGTCTGTGGGAGGAAACCGGAGTACCTGGAGAAAACCCACACTGCACGGAGAGAACATGCAAACTCCACCCAGAAAGGCCCCGGGCCGGGATTTGAACCGGCAGCCTGCTCGCTGAGAGAGGGCAGCTCTACCAACTGCACCACCATGATGCCCCATGCAGACCAACAGAAATTAAAAATATATATTTCCATGAGACTCTGTACCAAACGATCCAAGGCCAGTACTGGTCCCAGGCTCGTGGTTTAGGACCCCTGCTGTAGAAGATGTAAACAAATCGCTAAAAATGTTTCAGTCGTTCGTTACAAGTTTTGGATATTTCCTTTAAAGATTTTTCAAGCTAAATATTTGACTGTCTTTTGAAAACACTAGATTTTTCCTGTAGAAGCTTTTTAGACTACAAGAACAAGTTAAAAACATCTTAGGTTTTAAAAAGGTGCCGTTGTTACAGCCAGTCTGAACTCGTTTTATTCAGATTTTGGGTTCATTCTTCTGTTTAAAATCATCAAGTCAATTCTCAGAAGGATTCTCATAAGTCTAGTTTCTGTAAAGTTGTACAGTTTAAAGCAGAAGTGTGGCCTTCACTGCCTTTCCAGTGGAGAAACATACCCTCTCTGTCAGACTAGCCAGGATTAATCAGTTTTGAATGCAGGTTTATATTTAACTCTTATTTAGCGTGTTTAATTTGACAGTAGAAACCTGGATCTGTTCAGACAATAAAGCATCTTTAAAATCAAGATCCAGTCACGGCATGCATGAGGCTCTAACACAAGTCCCTGTCTTTGTTCTCATCCTGTTTTATGATGTTTGTGTTTCTGTTCCACTGGTCATTTATTAACAAAAAAAGGTCTACCTGATGCTTTTCAACTCAGATTTACACACACTGCCTGATTTCTTGGTTTGAAGCTGTTTTTCTTAGCTGGACTAGTCAAAGATATAAAGTTGCTCCCTTCACACAGCTCAGTGTTTCTGACCTCAGCACTGATGAAGTGCTTAGAGAAAGTGCCTCTCCATGGTTTCTGTTCCTGTGTCTGAATAGAATGTTACCTGCTGAACTGACCCAGGAATGAGTTTAACAAAGATATAAAGTACAGGAAAGTGTCCCAATATAAGCTTTGCATAACTTTAGACTAAAGTGGAAGGACAGGTCAGTTTGTTGCTAATAAAAATAAAACAACAACAACTCATTATGTATGTTGTTTCCAGGTTTTATGTAACAAAATGTTTTAGGCATTGTTTGTGGAGAGATAAAACCGACTCAAAGATGTCTATTTGTTATGAGTTTATACTAGAATATTTTAGTTACCCAAACCCAACACTGTCCAACTTCTTTCAGCTTTTCCCTCTTCAGGGTCTCCACAGCGAGTCATCCTCCTCCACCTCACTCTGTCCTCTGCGTCCTCTGTCCTCACTCCAACTACCTCCATGTCCTCTCTAATTGCATCCATATATCTCCTCTTTGACCTTCCTCTTTTTCTTTTTCCTGGCAACTGCATTTCTAACATCTTTCTACCAATATACCCACTGTCCCTCCTCTGGACATGTCCAAACCATCTCAGTCTGGTCTCTAACTTTCTCTCCCAGTTGTTCAACCTGTGCTGTACCTCTGATGATCTCATTCCTAATCTTATCCATCCTTGTCACTCCTAAGGAGAACCTCAGCATCTTCATTTCTGCTACTTTCAGTTCTCTCTAGTCTTTTTGACAGTAGCTATTTTTTTTCATGTGCAAAATTCTTTGACCGGATTGAAATGTTTTCAGATAAAATAATCCAAATGTATCGTTTACATGGGCACAATCTGTTCACGATGAGTGTTTACATGCAGCGGGCTTTTATTCACAATAGAAGTACTGACATGCACAGAGTGGTAAACTTTCCTTAAAAATCCACAGAAGAAGAAGGTTTACATCCACGATGAACATAAACAAACCTGAGCGCCCCAAATGGACCCGTGCTATGTTTTAATGACGGTGAAGATGTTACTTCACTCCCTGATTGAGCTACAATACAGATGATTTTGAGCTCTTTCAAAGTTTCTAGTAGAAATGTTAAATTGACTGTACTTATATATGCCTTTACATCTTATTTCAAGATACTCAAAGCTCAACTCAAAGCGCTTTACACTACAATCTGTGTCCTCATTTAGACATTCATACAGCACTCTACTAGATCTCTACGAAGCTAATTGAACAAATCATTCTAAAGAGACTAATCAGAGCTTTATCACATTCATACACTGATGGGACACATCAGAGGCAATGAGGGGTTCAGTGTCTTGCCCAGGGACACTTCAGCATGTGACTGCTGGTGGATTTGAACCCCCAACTCTCGCATTGGAGGACGACTGCTCTAACCACTCAGCCACAGCCGCCCCCAAATGTTATCGCTCACAGTTTTGCTTCCCCGTCTTATTACCATCTAGCCAGGCAGAAATACGTGAGGTAGCCATAGGTTGCACATGCGCAGTCAGGTCAGTTTTCCACAATCGGAGTAAAATGATCAGATTAAGTGTTTACATGCACACCATTCTGATTATGAATCAGCATAAACCACCCCTCTCGTTCTGATTACAAATTCTTTCAGATCGAGGTGAATAAACAAAAAATAATCCGAATGGTGCATTTAATCCGATTACTTATGTCCATGTAAACATAGCTATTTACTTGTAAACTTTCCCTTTGACCTTTGCTGAGACCCTTTTGTCACAAATCACTCCTGAAACTTTTCTCCATCCACTCCATCCTGCCTGAACTCTCATTTTCACTTCTTTACCACACTCTCCATTTTCCTAGACAGTGGACCCCAAGTACTTGAAGTCCTGCACCTTTGTGACCTCTGCTCCTTGTAGCCTCACTGTTCTACCTCCTCCCTCTCATTAACACACTTGTACTCTGTCTAACTATGACAGGCTTTCATTCCTCTTCTTTCAAGTGCATACCTCCACCTCTCCAAGTTCTCTTCCACCTGTTCCCTGTTCTCACCACAGATCACAATGTCATCTGCAAACATTCTAGTCCATGGGGATTCCTGTCTGACCTCATCTGTTAGTCGGTCCATCGCCAGAGCAAACAAGAAGGGGCTCAGAGCCGATCCTTGATGCACTCCCACCTCCACCTTGAAGCTGTCACCCCTACAGCACATCTCACCACTGTTCTGCTGTCCTCATACATGTCCTGTACCAGTCTAACATACTTCTCTGCTACTCCAGATTTCCTCATGCAATACCGCACCTCCTCCTCGGCACCCTGTCATATGCTTTATCTAAATCCACAAAGACACAATGGAGTTTTTTTCTGACCCTCTCTGTACTTCTCCATCAGCATCCTCAAAGCAAATCTGGTGCGTTTTCTCAGCATGAAACCATACTGCTGCTCACAAATAGTCACCTCTCATCTAAGTCTTGCTTCCACAACTCTCTCCCATATTTTCAGTGTGTCTCATTAACTTGATTCCCCTGTAGTTGCTACAACTCTGTACATCACCCTTGTTCTTGAAAATGGGCACCAGCACACTTTTTCTACATTCCTCAGGTATTTTCTCACCCTCAAATATGCCATTGAATTTGAGTCAGAAATCTCACTGCCATCTCTCCAAGACATTTCCAAACCTCCACTGGTATGTCATCAGGTCCTACTGCCTTCCCCTTCTTCATTCTTTTCAGAGCTTTCCAGACTTCACCCTCACTAATCTTTCCCACTTCCTGGTCCACAGTTTCTATAACCTCTACTCTTCTTTCTCTTTCATTCTCTTCATTCATTAGCTCCTCAAAGTACTCCTTCCATCTTCCTGTCAGACTCTCCTCACTTGTTAGAACATTATCATTAGAACATTAACATCCAGCACTGTCCAACATTTGAAAACATTTCAAATTTGATGAAATGTCTTCCTTAACAATCAATGCTTCTTAGAAGCTTCTTGTCCTTCTCTTGTCATTATTTCTGAACACCTTTCAGATGTTACATATGAAGCCCAAAACTGCTTATATCACAACATCGATGTCTGTTCCTCGTGTCTTACAACAAGGTTCCTTTGTTCCAAGACTGTGATGGTTCTTGATCTGTGTTAGAAGAACATTGTCTTTTGCTTGGCTGTGCAAATCTTCAGAGGGACAACCCAAACCTGCTCTCCCTGAGGTTCATGTGCTGGGTGTGGGTAACTTGCCTTAGTCCCCTGTCCTAACAACAGGCTGCCTTTTTCAAGTGAGTCACCTTGCTGCCTTAGTCAGACTCTAGTCTGGGCCTGACTGCTCACCAGCATGCCTTCTCGTATCCCTGACAGTTTCCTCCTAAAGTATGTGGTCCCAACACCCCGCTTTGAAGACTGGACAGATTTGTATGTGCCAAACAGAGGTTTGTTGTGAGCCACTGATTAGTGGTCGTACTGAGAATAGCTTCACTTCCAAACATGCACTAACACTGTCCTTAATGCACATGTCTGTGCACAGTACATGGCTAACTACCATTCCTCATGCAAAATAAACTGCCCATAATAACAACACTTGACTGGTGACCTGATCTGTCACCAGTCAGTTTCTGTCACCTCCCTACTAATCAGTAACAGGTTCACAATAACACTGTGCCTCTTTAACGTCTCAAGGTTCTGCAGAGCACTGCACAATGTTTCTCATTCACATATACACATACAGGGCATTTGTTATAACTCTTCTTAATATGTACAGCTCTTTTTTATCTTCTCACTAATACATAAATTAGCATAGTGTCTTTCCCAGAGGCAGTTCTGCACACTGGGGATCAAACCCTTGATCCTTTGATAGGAAGATTACCCACACCGCTGGTTGATGGTGCATTCCTTCTATTCTGGAAATCCAACAAGAAATATGTGCCTTAACTTCAGTGATAGCAGACAGAATCAGCTGACAGACTGTAAAAATGCACCGATGTGGGTTTTAATTTGAATCAAATGCCTTGAAGTGATTTATTAGATTGATATTACACTTTGCCGTTTGAACTCACGCTCTCTGTCTTTGGCTGACTTGACTTTGTTGTGCAATGGCTGTGAGTAAATAAATAGAAACTGAGTTCAAGGGAACACCACAGTCTTCATCATGTTCTTCTGTGTACAGCGTTATTTGTTTCTGCGCAGCCCGTTTCCTCTGAAAGGAGGCCATGGCACAAAGGCAGCTCTTGTTAGGGAGCGAGCAGCGCTGCCTCATGGCCTGAAGCATGAGCGCACAGAGCTGTGAAGCCCCAAGGCCTTGTTGACACCTCTCAAGGTTTCAGAGTGGTGTTAAGCCCTGGCTGATTAAAGAAGCATCTAACTAGGAATTACAGCGATGAATCACACTGCCAGGCCGAAACACTTGCAGCAGAGCAGCTCTGCTACACTCTCTTATTTTCTTTATTTTTTTTCTGCTGCCAGTAGAAAATGAGCAGCTTCAGTCACTGGAGATCTAGCATTCACCCTGAAGCTGACAAGGCTGTAATTGGTTCTCTGCACCTTCAGCACACAGACTGTTATTTTTATCATTTACAACCTCCATATTGAGTTTGGTTTTGCCAAAGACACAAGCCAACCATTTTCCATCTCTGTTGTTCTGCTGCTTCCATCCTAGTTGTAAGCGTGAATAAACATGGATGAAAAGGGAATTTAATGGTGCCAGAGTTGTATTGCCTCATTATCCCATCTGCAGCAGCAGGCGAAAAGCTGTCTCTGAAGATGAATGGGCCTCAGAAAGAATGAGTGCATGGACAGAGAAGGAGCGGGTGGGTAACAGATCAAAGGCTAATGGAAGAGCTGCTCAACTTTCAGCAGACCTGACCAAGACGTTAAGAAAAGCTTTTTTAACAGACTAGAAATGTTGCTCAGGGAAGAATGTTCAATCAAAGACAGACCCAGAATAAACAAAACATGGAAGAACAAAGCATAGTTTTGATAATGAATCCACAGTAAGAAAGACAAAGCCACTTTGTTGCAGGGAAATAGTAAGTTTTTACTCCTCATTTGTCTTTGAAGTCCAACCAGAGTGCCTTGTCTGATTAATAACATGATGCCAAATGCCCAGCTGCTGCGTTCATGAAGCTGCACTGTAATTGCAAAGAGCCTGTTTCTGTCAGAAGGGATGATTACTGTTCTGGCATTTTTCAAACAGGTGGTTAATTTTGAAATCTCATTTTTCTCTGCTCATTTTTTTTCTTCTCCTATCGACCCCCCCTGCTGTCTTTTTCTTCCGTGTGTTTCGTGGAGGCTGCCATGCAGCTAGTGTGAATGAAGCAGATGTTGACAACAGTGGAGATGGTGAGTTTTATTTTTTCTGCAATTAAAATAATGTATAGAATTGGTACATTTTAAAAACAAACACTACACTTTCTCTACAGTCTTCTCCTTTCCTGCCCTGCCTAACGAGGATAATCTAATAGGAGTCAGTAAACCTCTTCCTAAACAACTATGGGAGGCCAAAAAGGTAAGATTCTGATTCATTTCTGACCTTTTCTTTAATGCTTGACTCAGAAAACACATGTAAAAGCTAATTATTATCATTATAAGTTGGTGTTCACTGCTCTTTCATATCAGATTGTATCACTCCATCCATCCATTATCTTCCGCGTGTTACAAAGTCAGGTCGCGGGAGCAGCAGCTTGAGCAGGGAAGCCCAGACATCTCTTTCCATAGCCACCTCTTCCAGCTCTTCTGGGAGGATTCCAAGGCGTTCCCAGGCCAGCTGAGAGACATAGTCTCTCCAGCATGTCCTGGGTCTTCCCCGGGGTCTCCTCCCAGTTGGACATGCCCGAAGCACCTCCCTAAGGAGACGTCCAGGGGGGCATCCTTACCAGATGCTTGAACCACCTCAACTGGCTCCTCTCGATGTGGAGGAGCAGCGGTTCTACTCCCGAGTCTCTCCCGGATAACAGAACTTCTCACCCTATTTCTAAGTGAGAGTCCAGCTACCCTGCAGAGGAAACTCATTTCAACCGCCTGTATCCACAATCTCATTCTTTCGGTCACTACCCAGAGCTCGTGATCATAGATGAGGGTAGGAACGTAGACCGACAGAGAGTTTTGCCTTACTGCTCAGCTCTCTCTTGACCACAATGGACTGGTTCAGAGTCCGCAATCCTGTAGACACTGCACCATCAATCCATCTGTCAATCTCGTGCTCCATTCTTCCCTCACTCGTGAACAAAACCAAGATACTTGAACTCCTCCACTTGAAGTAGAACCTCACTCTCGATCTGGAGTGAGCAATCCACATTTTTCCGGTTGAGGACCATGGCCTCAAATTTGGAGGTGCTGATTCTCATCCCAGATTGTATCACTGTTTAACTAAAAAAAGGCAAAATAATAAAGAGCACGAGTGTACTTGTTGACAACGTCCACATGCGATAGGGTAGAGGCAGGGCAGCTGACTTGGGACCTGAAAGTCCCAGGTTCAATCCCCGGTCATTGCGCATCTTGTAGTGTCTCTGAGCAGGACACCTTATCCCTGGGCGCTTTGCCCACTGCTCCACCTAAGTGTATCCCAGGTGTGATGGGCAGAGAGCCAATTTCATCATTGTATGGAAACATACGATGATGACAACACAACACATTATTATTATTATTATTATTATTATTATTATTATTATTATTATTATGCTGAGAGCTTTTAAACTGAGGCAGGCTGTCTCCAGGGTTTCTGTTCAGATTAGCCAATTTAAAGCAAACCTTTGGGAAAACTGACTATGCATGTCCAAAAAAGTTCAATCTGGTCCTCTGGACATTCAAAAAAACAAAACAAAGCAAAAAAATGTAGATGCGTTTCGTCTTTCATCCGAAAGACTTCCTCAGTCTGAGGTGCTGTTTTCATCTCCAGGCCAGCGGTCACTCTTTCAGGAATGAAGATGTTCACATCCTGGACAGAGAGGAACGATGGTTTGAGAGAGGAGTAAAGGAGGCCATCTTTGTGAAAAGAAACCGTCCATCATTAAACAGGGGTGGAGGCCTCCGGGTTCAACTGTCCCCCTCTTACAATGCTGTTATTGCTAGTATCACTCAACTCCCTGTGAATAGTAAACAGCCATCAGTGTGCTAATGATCCATTGTTAGGCTGATGGTCCTTCTTGACCATGTGAGCAGCTGATTTTGGTTGTCAGCAACAAACTGGTTGATCCACTCTGAGAAGGTGCTATTTAAGAGACTGAGCTGAATACAGCACCTCAGACTGAGGAAGTCTCTCGGATGAAAGACGAAACGTATCTACATTTTTTTGCTTTGTTTTGTTTTTTTGTTATTTTGAATGTCCAGAGGACCAGAATAAACTTTTTTGGATTTTTCTACCTGGATTATTGAGCGTGCATCAAGTGACTATGCATGTATGTTGCTTTAACTGATTTGGAGGGAATAAATGGGCAGACGGTGACAGCTCATATGATTTTCTAGGCCTCACTGTGGTGAACACAGTAGTGCTCACTAAGCAGAAATGGCAAAAGTTAGATTAATGCAAGAGAAATATGGAAATTGGAATTGTTTGTTCCTAACTGAGACATTTTTTCTGCACAGCTCTCTTCATGTCCAACTGAAGGATTTCCATCAAGTTAAGGTCTAGATTTGTACTGGACCATTGCAGTGCATGTATTATTTCTTTGCTGCTGTATTTGGGACCACTGTATGTGCAAGCACTGTGCAAGATGGGGGCGGGCACCCTGGACAGGTCACAAGGACAGTACACAAGTACCATACTTGCCGCCATACACTTCGCACTACCCTATAAGTCGCATCAGTCCTAATATGTCTAATAAAGTGGGAAAAAACGTAAATACGTCGCTTCGCCATATACGTCGCATCTATTATGCGTCAACGCTGACGTGTCGCATTTGTTATGCTTCACCACTGACAACCTGGAAATGTGGGCCGAACCCGGAAATGTGGGCTGGTGTTGTGCCAAAAATGGATTGGCTGCCAAATGGCAGCCGCGGGAGCGTGCATGGGAGGACTTTAACAAGAATTTAACAAGATTAACACTTAAAGTCTATTATTTGTTTGCTCGAAATTATAGTAAATGTGTGTCTCAATTTAACTTTTCCTAAGTAAATCCACTTTGACGGTCAAATCAGCTGCATTTCAAAAGCCAATATGCAGAAGTAGGAACGCGCAGAGGGACAAGTTGCTGCTCATTTCTTTAAAATTTAACAAGATAAACACTTAAAAACAATTATTTGTTTGCTCGACTTTATAGTAAAGGTGTGTCTCAGCTGAACTTTTACTTAATAAAAGGACTTTAACAATCAAATCGGATGCATTTCAAAAGTATATGCTGCCTTGGTGCTCGGGGAGCGTGCAGACAGGGAGGAAATCAGGAAGGAGGAACACTGCGCATTTCTTTGATATTTAACAAGATAAGCACCTATAACAATTATTTGTTTGCTCGACATTATAGTAAAGGTGACTCAGTTTAACTTTTACTTAATAAATGCACTATAATGGTCAAATCAGCTTCATTTCGCTGGGGCAGCGCAGCCAAATGAAGCTGATTTGATGGTAGCTCCAAGCGAGCAGAACGAAGGTGGCAGGCTATGGCAAGCTGATTGTGTCATTAACCCACTTTTATCTACTACATGACACAACAGCATGCCATACTACTCGAATGCTATCTAGCGGCTGAAAATGGTAGTGTTCAATATTTTCAGTCAGAATTAATGAAAACGGTCATATCTTAGCCAAAATTTGGTTTATAAATATGGGACAAAATCCATAAATATTTCGCTTTGGTGTGGAAGTCGCGGGGCATTCAAATTATGCAAAAAAACTGTGACTTATAGGGCGAAAAATACAATACTAGTCTTTTTGATTGTCCTGTCAAAAACGTTAAACTTTAATTTGCCATCTGAGGCTTGTAGAATCTGAGATTTGTTCTCTCTCATTTTTTTTACCATTGTACAGTCTGTTCTTGGTGTAAACTTACTGGAATGTCCACTTAGTGAAAAATGGCTGCTGTATTAAACGTTTGGAGAGCGATGGACTCCAAATACTTTGGAAATTAGCTTTGACACTTTTCAGATTGTTAAACAGCAACAGTTTCTTCTCTCTGGTCCTTGCTCATATCTTTCCTCCTTCTCATACACACAACAACAACACATGGACTGTAACACCACCACCTGCACTTTCATCCATTAGCCCACTACTGTACAAACTACACATAATCTACTATCTACTATTCATAAGTACTCACATACTTATATATATATTTTTTTTCTTTTATATAGCTGTTTATACCCCTTCATATTATAACCTGTTCATTGTCTGTACACTCACAACCTGTATATATTTATACCTATAGCATATTCAAAGCAACTTACTGTATATTGTACTATATATATCTACCAATTTATTTTTCTTGCTAAGCACTTCTGGATAGATGCAAACTGCATTTCGTTGCTTTGTACCTGTGACATGTGCAATGACAAAGTTGAATTCTATTCTATTCTAAACATCCATATGTAAGCAAAACGTCTTCAGCTTCAGAATATAGTCCTATTGCTTTTGCTTTTTTAATCGGTCATTTTTCATTAATTTGTTCATTCTGAACATAAAAAACACAAAGAACAGATAGCATAAACCCCTCCCACTACTCCCCTCCCACACCGGATCAGTAACTCATACATAAATGAATTAAAATGAATTACACAGGCACTGACATGTTTTTCACATACAACACTGTTATTTTTGTTTTTAACCTTTTTTTTTATTATTATTTTTGATTAATCATGAGAATCTTCACCAGTATAAATTTCAACAATTTACTGTAGGATCAATAAAGTTATTTGCAGGATACTAACGGGGATGTTGTTGGAGGAGGTAATGGACAAACTGAGATCAGATCAGGAACATCTATATTACGTTTTGTACACAAAATGGAAAAAGTAGAAAAATGCAGGAATACTGGCTAAGTGCTGCGCTTCAGCATACTCCTACAGGGCCACGGAAAATAAACCAAATTTATGAGACTGTTCATTTTATTTTTTTGTTTTCTTAAAATATTTTAGGGCATCTTCTTTACATGACTTAAGTTTTATCCATAGGAATATTTCACACATGCTGATGGAATTGGCATAATTCAAGTGCAGGTTTTAAAGAAGTTGCCAGCACACTGATTTATGATTGATAAGTTTGTCATGCAAAGATGCCCGACAATAATTTTGTACATGCACAAAATTTTCAGCATAAGCAGACATGTTGCTGATAAGTTAGGTATTAGTTACAGGTATGCAACAGCTAAGCTATGCACAAGTTCATGTGTTACATGTAAGTTACTCATAAGTTGAAAGACGTCAGAAACCAGCGGGGCAGTTGTGTAATGTACGATTAACATACATTAGACACATGTAACATAATCATCTGCAAAAAGCAGAGATGAAATCCTGAGGCCACCGAACCGGACTCCCTTCGGCCCCAGGCTGCAATGAGAAATTCGGTCACTGAAAGTTACAAACAGAGTCTATGACAACGGGCAGCCCTGGCAGAGTTCAACTCCCACTCTGAAGGGGTCCAACTTACTTCCAGTAATGCATACCAAACTATTACACCTCTTGCACTGGGACTGAACAGGTCGTAGCAATAGGCCCACAATCCCATACTCGTGGAGCGCTCCCCCCCCCCCCCCTCCCCAGTGTATTCCTAGGAACATGATAAAACATCTTCTCCAAGTCCAGAAAACGCATGTACAGGTCCTTCTCAAAAAATTAGCATATTGTGATAAAGGTCATTATTTTCCATAATGTAATGATAAAAATGAAACTTTCATATATTTCAGATTCATTGCACACCAACTGAAATATTTCAGGTCTTTAATTGTTTTAATACTGATGATTATGGCATACAGCTCATGAAAACCAAAAATGCCTGTCCCAAAAAATTAGCATATCATGAAAAGGTTCTCTAAACAAGCTATTAACCTAACCCTCTGAATCAACGACGTAACTCTAAACACCTGCAAAAGATTCCTGAGGCTTTTAAAAACTCTCAGCCTTGTTCATTACTCAAAACCGCAATCATGGGTAAGACTGCCGACCTGACTGCTGTCCAGAAGGCCATCATTGACACCCTCAAGCAAGAGGGTAAGACACAGAAAGAAATTGCTGAA